TACACGTAGCGGGGGATGGGACCTCCCATGGGGAAAGCAGCCTGTTCCTCTGTCTCCAGCAGCTTCCGGGTCACCTGCAGCCTCTGTATCTGATACTCAGGATTCCAGGGCACTGCTGTAGGGACAAAGGCCATGTCCTCTGCCCAGACCCAGTTCTCTAGTCCTGTGTGAGATGAATGAGGAGAGGGCTAGTCATGCAATAACATTGGCCTTTCCTGGCTTCAGAGTGGAAGTCAAAAAGCAACCAAGAACTGAGTGTGCTTGTGCCCTCTTCTTTGCTTCCTTGCCCCCAAATATCTCTTTTTTTTTTTTTTTGCCTGAACTCTGGGCCTGAGCACTGTCCCTCAGCTCTTGAGCTCAAGGCTAGTGCTCTACCACTTGAGCCACAACACCACATCTGGCTTTTTCTGCTTATGTGTGCTAAGAAATTGAACCCAGGCCTAATGCATGCAAGGCAAGCACTCTACCACTGAGCCACCTTCCCAGCCCCAAAATACCTCTAAACCTTCAGGCAAAGGTGTTGACATATAAATTTAAATATTTCTTCAAAGGTATTATTTATTCTTCCTTTCAACTTTTTTTTTTTTTTGGTCGGTCATGAATCTTGATCTCTGGACTTGGGCGCTGTCCCTCAGCTCTTCAGCTCAAGGCTAGCCTTCTACCACTTGAGCCACAGCGCCACCTCCAGTTTTCTAATGGAGATAAGAGTCTCACAGACTTTCCTGCTCAGGCTGGCTTTGAACCACAATCCTCAGATCTCAGCCTCCTGAATAGCTAGGATTACAGCGTGAGCCACCAGTGCCCAGTGCTCTTTCAACTTTCTTTAGCTGAGAAGACTGTGCTTTACTCCTAGGTATGGGTATAGAGACAAGCAAACCACTGCCTGGCCTGCAGTGTGAAAGAGATGCAAGTAAGGTAGGGTCTGGGTTCCAGGAATCCAGATTTAGGCAGGAAAAGGACCCTCTGGAGGTACCTTTTCTTCCTGGCATTCAATGATGTCATCAAAAGAGGTCACAGGGGTTGGGAATGTGGCTTAGTGATAGAATGCTTTCCTAGCATGCATGAAGCCCTGGGTTTGATTCCTCAAAACCACATAAACAGAAAAGGCTGGAAGAACTCTGTGGCTCAAATGGTAGAGTGCTAGCCTTGAGCCAGAGAGGTTCAAGGATAGAGCACTGGCCCTGAGTTCAAGACTTGGGACTGGCAAAAATAAAAATAATAAATAATAAAATAAAATGCCTGACTGTACCTTATGGGCTTTATGCCCAGGAACAGGGAGGATGTGGGTCCCCCTATGGCAGAGCTCAGGGAGAGTCTGCTGGGCAGGTTAGAGCTGTTCTGAGAAGGAACATTCTGGTGCTGGGGAAAGTGAGGCCTGTGTGAGCACAGACTGCCATGGTTGTAGGAACCTCTGGGAGCAGGAGTGGACACGATCTGAGGACATTGTGAGTGTAGGCAGCACTAAAGTGGTGACACTTCCAAAGGCAACTGGCAGTATGATCCAGTGAGAGTTCTAAGATATTTCAGAGAAAGAGAAGAAAAACATCTGGTGATGACTCACATGGGAAAGGAACGTGAAATGACAAGGATTCAAACTTGAAGAAATCATGGAGCACTGGCTCTCTTCATGACCAAGAACTCCAGAGACTGTCTGAAATCCTCTACCAGGTCCATTCTAACCCTTGCACTAAAGTGAATGACTCCTAGACAGAAATGGAAAATCAGGGAGGAAAAGCTCTCATCTCTCAAGGAAATCCCTAACTTGAGATTTTCCATGACGGGGCCTACATGTACCAGAGACTTGGCAGAATGCAAAGAGATCCCACAACATAGTACCACAGGCCAGACATAGAGAACTGAGCTGGATGATAAATGGCTGTATTCCTGAAGTGAGGCTCACATAAGAACAAAAGAGAAGCTGGGCACCGGTGGCTCACGCCTGTAATCCTAGCTACTCAAGAGGCTGAGATCTGAGGATCGCAGTTCAGAGCCATCCCAGACAGGAAAGTCCATGAGACTCTTGTCTCAAATAAACCACCAGAAAACTGGAAGTATTGCTGTAGTTCAAATGGTAGAGCACTCACCTTGAGCTGAAGAGCTGAGGGACAGCACCCAGGCCAGAGTTCAAGCCCCAAGACCCACCAAAAAAAAAAAGAGCAAAAGAGATAATAAGACAATGGGAACCCTGTTAATCCAGATCCTGCCTTCTTCTTGAGCATAGTCATCAAGACTATGTATATGAACTTGTACAAAAGCTGGTGACTGTGCACACAGTCAGTGAACAAAAAACCAAATGAAACTCAGTAGCTAATTACTTTCCCATCCAGCCAACAGGGAAACATGAAAAAATCACATCATTCTTTCCTTGATAACTTACATGAAACCCAAAGCAAAGTGCTAACTTTGTAAAACCCTTGTCAAGATGTCCTACCTGCCACATCCAGATCCACCTTGAAGTGGGCACTGTGTGTGTGAACTGTGCCCAGCGTGTGCTCCCCAACTCGGTTTCCATACTTTTGGGCAGCACCAAAGAGGAATGCTGAGCTGATATAGCCTGTGGCATGGACCTTGACTTCTATGGCCCCATTGGGATGGAAGATCATATCCCACACATAGTCATAGTTGATCAAGGTAGAAACAGACCTGACCACTAACACAGTCTCCGCAAGGCCCCCAAAATAGTAAGAGTCGAATTCTGAGTGGTGTCGCCGCAGTGGAAGACCCTGGTTCTGTTCAAA